TTAAAATCTTGAGGCCAAGTGTCACTCATTGTCTCTTGGCTGCTTGTTTTTACACATTAAAACTTTTAAACTCAAATGACAATTTTTCCTTAATGCAAGAATTACAGTTACCATCACTATACCACGAAGCTAGACTTCACACTTTTGTAACATTTAAAAACATCCTAATTGTAGAACATAATGAAAGTAAGCCACATTATATAAATAACTTTTTAACTCTCTTTTTAAGGCCTTTCTAATTTTAATGTTAACACATCCAAGGGGAAGTTTTAGCAATACTAATCAGATAATCACATCACTCATTTTAACCACCATGTTTTCAGTGTCTATCTGCAGAGAAAAGAGAGAACAAAGATGGGCCACTCAGCCCCTTCTATGGAATGGGCTCACACCCAATCCGACTCTTTAGGGTTAGATGAACTGCGTTTGTGCCAGCTTACCCTTTTTCACCCTGCGTGGACTCCTCCCAGGGCTTGTCCCACCATGCATGGCCGGCTGAACTGCACTTCTGCTTGCTCACCCCTCACCCCTAAAGGTCTTCTGTTGGTAACATCTTTAATAGTGTTAAACTAACCTTTACATTTAAATTTTTAATATTTATCCCCAAATTTTAGCCAAGGGAACTAGATCCCAAACTGCCAATGCATTTTTGTTAAGCCAGATAACTTGATTACAGTATAAACAGTCTTATGCATTTTAAAATATTAGTCTTTTAAAATACCAGATTTTTTAATTTGCAAGTTAAAGAATCTTTACAAAGCCATTTAGAACAATGCGAAGATTCTTTAAAATTTTTGGTAATGTCCAAAGCTCATAACGTTTTGAATTTTAAATTTAAACTCACCCAATTGTTACAGCATGCTGACAATTCTTATCTTTGAACACGTTCACAGACACACACAAAACACTCACACAGATCTTAAAGCGCGCAAAAATCAAAATCAGTTGTACGTACACCTTTTAAAGTTTTTAAACAAAAATTTCTTTTAAACTAGGTACCTTTGTTGGGCTTTATTTTCCCAGAGCTTGTTTGTCTAGCAAGGCAATTCACTAATTAGACTTTTGAATCCCTTCTGTTGGAGGAGGACTGGGGGAGGGGGTCACCTAAAACTAAACTGGCCAGATTTTTTTAATCCAATTTTAGACAAGAGCACTTTACAAATTGTTACACTGTCAGGACTAGCTGAAAAAGTCCAAACCAGGCACACAGCCTTCTACACCCTCCCTGCCGGCAGCCTCCACAAGGAGAAAATGCAGCCTGAGGCTTGAAGGGAACCAAACTAGCCCAGTAACCTTCCATGCCTCACAGGGAGGGTGGGCATAGCAGGTCTGTGACTGAGCCCAGTTGGAACTTTTATTCCCCCAAAGATGTTTAAATAAATAACAAAAAACACAGATAAACACAAAAACCAAGGATCCACATTTAAAACTGGTACCAATTCTAAAACAGAACTAGACAAGAACCAAAGGCTGAGTTGGGGACTAATGGGCCCCAGTTTATCCCTACCAGAACACTGTGCTGCTCCCACTCAGCAAGCTGAATCCAGAGTCTGCTGAGTGAGCCTGCCACACTCACCCAGAACTTTCCTACCCCATAGAACAAACACACACACTAAAGTAAACAAGACAAACAAGTGGCCACAAAGACAAAATCAGGTCTCAGTGAATGGGGCAACATCTCACCACCATTCACTTACTAGGGGACTCAACCCCCCTACTCACCTCCAGAGGATTTTTCTCTCAGATTCCTGCAGACGTTGACCCAGGGGCCTTCCAAGGTGGAGGAGAATTCCCAGTCATCTTGGGGCAAGGGAAAAGAAAAATCCCTAGCGGCCGTCCCCTCAGACTGACAGGTTCTCCCCCA